TCTATAGAAAAATGTTTCGAAGTAGATGTATGTGGAAAATGTATATATTTAGTTTATCCTCTAAACATTTTTAGAGATGCTGCAATAGGTTAACTAGATAGGAAAGTCATGTGTTGGACACATCAGATTTTTTTGTATTGACAGCATACGCCAAGCGGTATCTAGACTTTCTGAGGGCTATGGTTCAACCCAATATCCGACTCGACAGGGTAAGGGCCATTTGATTTTGTCGTTGGACTTTTGAAAAATTTGAATTTAGATATTAAAGACATGAGAGGTCAAGGGTATGATAATGGGGCGAATATGCGCGGAAAACATACTGGTTTACAAAACCGCATGCTCGATGCTAATCCCAGGGCATTTTTTGTGCCATGTGCTGCACACAGCTTAAATTTAGCAGTAAATGATGCTGCTAAAGTTTCAAATGAAACAGTTAACTTTTTCAATATTGTACAAGAACTTTATGTATTTTTTTCATCTTCATCCACAAAAAGGTGGGATATTATAAAAAAACATGTCCCGAAGTTAAATCTAAAACCCCTAAGTGATACTAGATGGTCAGGTCAAGTAGGATTGATGCTATAATGCCGCTAAAGTTTTATTTAATTTAAATTTGTGATAGCCTTCTAGAAATAGCAGAAAATTACACTTTTAACATAGAAGCTAGGCATAAAGCAAGTTCTATGCTATTAAGTATCCAATCTTTTAAATTTATTTGCAGTGTAATAATTTGGTATGATGTTTTATTCCAGATTGGCATTGTAAGCAAAATGGTGCAAAGTGTAACGAATGATATTAAAGAGTGCCAAAACTATTTAAAGAATCTAGTAGATAATTTTAAAAATTATAGAGATGTTTTCGAGGAAAAACTTGCTCAAGCTGGAGAACTAGCAGCCGCTCTTGAGATAGAGCAAGGTTTTCCTTCATTAAATACTGTTAGACGAAAGTATAAACTAAAACTGTTCGATTATGAACAGAAAGATGAGACACCTCAAGATCCAAAAACAGCGTTTAAAATAAATTTCTTTTTAAAAATAATTGATCAAACACTAAGTTCTTTAAATAGTAGATCTATAGCTTCTGGTGAGATATCCTTCTCAAAATTAAAAATAATTAAAAATTAGTTGAGGTCTACCATGTCACAAGAAAGATTATCGGGTTTGGCAATCTTAGCTATAGAGCAGTGTTACTCAAAGTGTGCTCCGCAGAGCCCTGGGGCTCTGCAAAGCCTTTGTGGGGGCTCCGCGAAGAAAATAACAAAAAAAAGCCGTACCTATCGCTATAACGGGACTTGAGTTTTTTTTTTAGGGAGTATGCGATTTTTGGTATTTGAGGATTTTGGGTTGGAGGACCCTTTCTTTTTTTTTTTTAGAAGCCAGGAAGAGGAAGGCGTATATGATTTTGAGAATTTTGTTTGAAGAGGCTAGAGCAAGAAGGACTTTCTTACAAATGTGTTTAGGGCTCCGTCAAATATTTCACACTTTTCAAAAAGGTTCCGTCACCAAAAAAGTTTGAGAACCACTGCTATAGAGCAAGAGATCTTCGATAAAATTGATTTTGACAATATTATAAAAGAATTTGCAGCAGCCAAATCCAGAAAAAAAACCTATTTAATTTTTGGATAATTGAATGTTTTATTTGTTTCCTGTTTGGTTTGTTTTTTCTTTTGTAAGAATAAAATATTGGTTTTTGAAATATCCGTTGTTTCATTACAAAATTAAAATAAAATGTGGTTTTGCAATTCGCTCAAATGTTAAACGACTACAAGAATATTACAGCAAACTAGGAAATTTGTTATTCAAAATATTATTTATATAAGTACTACATATATTTAAAGGGCGTCAAAGTATTTCCGGCACGCGGGCGGCGATAACTCTTGCGGGGGCCCTGCATCGAATTTCAAATGAATTATTTATTTGAATTATAAAGAGAAATATTATTTTGTGAATGGTTCATTTTAAACATTTTGATTAGGGTACGGCATCCGAGCTGAATTCGGATCACACTTTGCTTATATCCCGAAATATTTTGAAATTTTGCCAAGCCTGTAGCTAGCCGTAGTGTTGCTATTGCCTGCCAGACAAAAACTGTTAGAAGAAATAAATGGACTGAGCCTAAACTGACATTAAAGGCTAATGGTAAGATTTTCGAGTATTATTCTTAAAACATCATTCACTATTATCAAATTAATTGCAGCTTTGTCCACCCTACATTTAAAAGCAGACGATGAGATGGTTTCTTACAAGCATTAAACACAACGAAAAGCAATAAAAGTCAAAAGGCATTACTAAAAGAACCTACGTTATTGAAAAAAAAGGGTTTCTACAGGAAGTTTTTAGTAAAAAGTATTTACAAATAATTTTATAGAAGAAAACAAGGACCCGTTGGACTTCAGAAGAGACATACAATGTATATTTATATCGGAAATAAAAAATATATTTTGTCAGTTTCTAGGATGTGTATGAACAGTATAATTTACTTTAAAAAAAAAAACAATAATACAACTGACAACAACCCAGTTTTATTATAATAATAATCTATAAATATAGGTACCAAATTAGAAAAAAACAGTTTTATCTATTGTGTTTATATACATACAATACATAGGAGATTTACAATTACATATACTTGTAGTACTTAAATAAATCATCCAAAAGACCATATCTTATTTTAGCAGCTCACTTTTGTAAAGTTGAAATCCCCAGAGTATTTATGAGGTAAAGATAGCACCTTTTATTCAAATATTTTCTCGTGAATGCTTTACAAACGTCTTCTCAACTCCAAAAGGCACTTGATGTTTTCTTCTTTAAAATGAATAATTGTAACTATGTACTTTTTACTAAAATCTTCTTGTAGCAAACCCTTTTTTCAAAAATGTTTGATCATTTAGTAAAGCTGTTTGACATTTTTGCTCTCGATTGTTTTTAATGTTTGTAAGAAACCATCTCATCTGCTTTTAAATGTAGAGTGGACGACAAAGCTACATTTAATTTAATAATAGTGAATGATACTTTCAGAATAATAATTACTCTAAAATCTTACCATTAGTCTTTAATTTCAGTTTAGGCTCAGTCGCTTTATTTATTCTAACGATTTTGGTGTGTAAAAATTAAAAATTGTTTGCCAACGACAAAACTACGGCTCGCTCCAGGCTTGTCAAAATTTAAAAATATTTCGGGATATAAACAAAGTGTGATCCGAATTCAGCTCGGAGGCCATACCCTAATCCAAAATATTTAAAATAAACCATTCACACAATAATATTTCTCTTTATAATTCAAATAAAAAGTAATACATTTGAAATTTGATGAAAATCATTACATAATTTTTCCATGCCGTTTTGTAGATTGTCTTTCAAAAAATCAAATTAGCGATTTTATAAAAACTCCAACACAGGTGTATAGTCCAAAAATAAAAATATGAACACCACTAAAAATTAATAAAATATATTTTTTACAAAACTAATGTACGAACCGCAGCAGAATATTTGCTGTCAACTTTAGTTTTCATTCCGTGACGTCACACCCTTCCTTAGCAACGGACGGAAGAGGCCACCGTGTTGTTTACGAACCGTGGTAACCACCAATTTGGCGTCCTTCGAAGGTCATTATGTATTTATTTTGCAATGAATACCTGAAAATTACTCGGTAGTTAGTAAGAGTATATTGCCAACCTCAAGAAGGCTATGAAAACATCTGAAAGCCCTTTCAATTTAAAAATTATCGATGGTGTCATCTCGTAAAGTAGAGGAGAAAAAAATTTATTGTTCAAAACCAAATTCAAAACTGATCTGTCCGAGCTTAATGTTATTGTATAAATGTACATATTTTTTAATTTTATCGATACCTACATTGAAAATTGGGCACCTCAACGGTATAGACATAATATCGCAATTGTTTCGGGTACCATTTCAAACAGAGTGAGTTTTAATATCAGTCACAGTTGTCATTTTGTCAAATGAAATGTAACTGCAGGGTTAAACCATTAAGGCCAAAATGTACTCGTTTTTCGGAAATCACCTAAAATTCGTATGATTTCGCCGAAATCCCCCTTAATTTTACGATATCGGTGACTTCGCGAAATCTTATTTTTATAGGATTTCGTTGAAATCATTGTATAAAATTATCTATGATTTCTCTATAAATTGAATATTCAAATGACTTTTTTTGGGAATTCTAAACTTGATTTTTGGTCGACCTTTTTCTTTACTTTTCCCTTGTCTTACAAGTATACAATGAAAATCTGAACACTTTTGCGCATTTGAATATGCCAAATAATACGTATGTTTATTTGGTTTCGTTTTTGACCTGTCTGTAATACTATGCTAATATTTTCATATCACTATTCTCTCATGAATAGGCATATATATTTAATGGTTTGACGTTTATTAAAACTGTCAGACCTACTTATCGTCATGTGAAGAAAATTTTCCGATACGTACGTGGGTAATTTCTCCTTTTTTCTCTTGAAACTGTTTTTTGAAGGTTAATTTGCAAACGTATCTATCGCACATGGAAGAAAAATTGGAACAATCCGAAGAACCGGGTTGAAATTTGAATCTTACCTCTCAAAATAATTAAAAATATCGCTGGCTACGCTGTAGTCTAGTGACTCTAGTGGTTAGAATATTGGTATGGTGTACCAAAGATCGCGAGTGATTGTCACCTGGAGTGAATTTTGTAAAATTCTTATTTAGTTTTCAGCCCTAATTGTTCAAGAATTTTTTCTTGAATTTTCACTTGTTAACTGAAAAATGTTCTATACTTCTTTTAAATTTTTTTAAATATTCAACCAGTTGCATTGTATCTAAAAAATATCAGCATGGCCCTTAATTGTTTCAGAACAAGCGAGGCAAATCATCAAACCTGCTAATCCATTCTAAAGAGGGAATATGGAAGTATAAAGAGAAATAAAATCAAAATTATTGTTAAAAAATGTTTTACATTAAAATACGCCACGTTCCAATAAAATATAAAACATACACATACACACATACATCACTAAACACTATTTTTAAATATTTCGTAATCCAGAATCGTTCCTTTTAATTTAACCGAATCCAATTTTGCGTCATCAGCCAACAAATGACTCATATCGATATCGGTAAACTTCTTTTCTTTTTCTTTTTTAGGCTTATCAACGTGCTCAGCTACCTGTACTACGCTTTCGAAATCTGTCAACTCGCTTGCCGGAACTATGGTCGATTCCACGACTTGAGATCCCAAAATGTTTCCTTTCTCGTCGAGATCGTTAATCGTAATTAGGATGTTGTTGTCATCTCTCTCCTTCTCTCTGACGGATTGTTCGCCGGTTTCGGAAATCGACAAAACATAACCTAAAAATAAAAACGACATATAGAAGATTGTTGAAGATCCTTTTATATAATACATAAAAAAATCTATAACGCCAACACTAGCATGTATACATTATAAAAACTCTGGCTTGGATATAATTTCTCGAAGACATTATGTTATCCGCGTCTCGGGACAAGTAGCCGATAGAAAGCCATCATGTAGATAGTTTCTTTCAAGGCGATTGGCCAGAAGCGTCGTAGCAAGCGGTTTCGTCTCCACCGGCATATAGACCAGAAGCCACTTCTCACTCAAACCAACCACTTGACTTGTTATACTAATTTTTAAAAACGAAACACTGGCAAAAATGTGATTAATTTTCGTAAGACCGTGCTTTACTACGGATGTCAAAATGGTTTGGTTTTTGTGATGTATCAGTTTAGTATGATTTTCCAAGATTAAATAGTGTTAATTTTTTCCAACAACGAAAGAAACCCAGCACTCTATCGTTTCATAATCCACTATGGCCAAAAGAATTATGTTAAAAATGTAAGAGGAAAGTACCCATCCCAACAAAAAAATTTGGATGATCAGAAACTAAGCCACGTTGGGCGCCAACGCAAATAGTCACATTATTAACTCCTTGTACTGAAGATGTTATCATGCACACATTTTAGTAAAGTTAAGTACCTGATTTTCCATCGTTGTCATATTTGAGGTTATAAGTAGTAGCTTGCTGGACTGCGCTGGTCTGCATGGATTCGCTACGGATCATCTCTTGAGTTACTTCTAAACTCTCATATCGAACTGTCTGTAGCCTATGAACTCCATCTTGATCTCGGCGATATCTTAAGTAGAAATACCAAATTAATTAAAATGGATCCTTAAAAATTAAATGAGTAAAAAGTAGACCTATCCCGTTATTGATAATCTTTATTATTCATGCGCAAAGCCTACTGCCTTTTAAAATTTGTTGTTATGTTTCCTACTCTGGGGTAGAATTCTCGAGTCTCGCATGAAAATTGTCGCACACGGCCAATGTCGCATACCAAATTCGCATGGTTGTTAAAAATCGTATTCTAGAAAAAGTGAATCTAAAATCACAAGCGAGAAATAATGCGAAGCATTTTATGTGGCAACGTAGGATATTATGTTAACTGTCAATATTAGTGGGTGTTCTGTTTATTTATTAGAACCCTTCTATGCTAAAAACTTTACATAATTTTGAAGCAAATAGCAGAATGTCTTTAAGCTGCGATTTTTTTTTTATAAATATGAAAGAGCAACAATATTTCAAAGCAAATCAGAAAACTAAATAATAAAATATGTCACGAAAACATCCTGCTGATACTAGATGGCGTTATAGTTACAATAACTATCAAGACTCGCGTTGATTCCTTAGAAAGTTGAAAATGCTTAATAAATAACACATCGTTAATTCGAAAGGGATTTTTATAAATAAACTTCTTCCTTCTATGCTGTCACTCTTTATTAATGTTTTGATTTTCAACAGCCACCAAATGTTAATATCATCAAAATCTGCCTCATCCATGTTTACGGTCCACAAAAGTCGCATATGATTTTAAATACGAGCACTTTAGACCACTCGTGTTGAATTCACCTGACATTTGTCGTATACTGTTTTCGAGAATACACTTTTTTAAAATCACCTAGTTGCTATTCGACATTTCACTAATCTCGCATGCGAATCGAGGTATTCGACATTCGAGAATACTACCCCTGAATTACAATTGCACATTACCAAAGGTGTTTCAACTATCTTTAAAATGTGACACCAAATTGTGCTTAGTACTAAAAATCCACCTAAGGTCGTTAAAAAATGAAGTACCACAAATTAAAAAGATAATAATGGCGAACTGTCAGAAACATTTAGTTAATTTTAACTTTATCAAGTGGAAGATACATCTGTATCCAATTTTAACAATAATGGCAATTTATTAAAGTCTACTAATTATACTCTACGTAAAAAACTCAATAAAAAGTAAAAATCTGATGTGTCCAACACATGACTTTCCTATCTAGTTATTATAGGCTTTTTCCGGTTTATTGCAGCACCTCTATAAATGTTTAGAAGATAAACTAAATGTATATATTTTCCACATACATCTAACTCGACACATTTTTCTATAATATATAGGTATTCCATAAAATATAAAAACGGCCTCCCATAAAGTACCCCCCAGATGTTCCGCCTTCGTCCAAAATCTAATCAGTTCACCACAGGCCGGAATAAAGCTTAAGTTTAAAATTTGGTGTTTTTCTTTGATACAGACACACACAGACTGACGCGCGCGCGCTCACACACACACACACACACACACACACACACACACACACACACACACACACACACACACACACACACACACACACACACACACACACACGCACGCACGCACGCACGCACGCACCCACACACACACACACGCGCGCGCACGCACGCACACAGACAGACATCATCCCGAAAATAGTCGGATTCAGGGGACCTCAAAACGTAAAAATCCGTCGAAAACCGGAGGTCGAAAAAAAATCATGATTCCTATACTTTACTTATACAGATAGGAAAGTAAAAATATTAAGAAGAAAAATTACTACCAAATACCTACCTAACCTATATTTCATCAAAACATCATTTTTATAGTGTACGAGATAATAATCAAATAGTGAAAATAGTGTGTATCCTTCCCTAAAAAATTAGATAGACATTTTCAAGTGTGTAAATTTTGTTAGTATTAGCAAAGAGTTTTCGGATGTCAAGCCATCATCGGAGTACTATAATTATAAAGAAGAATAAATTATTAGCAATCATTTCCATTAAATTTGTTCTTATTTACATTTAAAAGTGTCCTAATGATGTCTTGACAACCGAACTGAAAGCGGTTGACGAATACCACAGAACGCGAATACCATGGGCGAATACTAATAAAATTTACACATGTACACACTTGAAAAATTGAAAATACCTTCAGTCGTTTTTACCTTACTTACAAAATATATTATTTATCATAAAAAATGGCACACCTAGAAGCACTGACGATATTTTAGTGAAATTAAGCATACATATTTATTTACTGCCTCTGTAGAAGTGATGAAAATTTCAGGCAAGATAAATAAAAAACGGCTTGGGGATTTTTATCTTTTTAATCTAAATACATAACAAATATACCAAATGCCTCCGCGTCATGTTCCGCTAACGGTGTGTGGATATATATACAAATAAATCCGACCCTCCTCAATATTCATGATTTCTACCCGCCGCTGTACATATTCACTTTTTCCCAAAACATCGATAAACAAAACTACCACTCCTTACGGCTAAAAATTACACATATTTCTCTATCCAATTTTGTTTTACAAAGAACGACAGAAAACATATTGTTTTCTACACCCACATGGATATTAGCTTATCTAGGCACAGACTACAAAACGAAAAAGTACGTTATTGCATTCAACAGAACGAATATATAAATTGGACCGTTTTTAACTCGTATTTTTATATGCAGGGTTGGTCAACAGTAAAAGAAATTATATTTATATTATTTTTAAATGTTGATTTCAGCTAAAATTCAGATACTTTTGGAAAAGTTTTATATGAATAGAATAATTTATTAACCTTCATTACATAAAAAGATACACAAGACAAGTCGTACAATAAATAATACAGGGTGTTTCCGAACTTGGCGTCCAATTTTGTAGGGGTGGTAGTTCGCATAATTTGAGACCGATTCGCAAATTTCATTTTTCCAAAATATTTAAAATAAAAATAATTAAAAATTAATTAAAAATGTTAAACAGGTACGGTCCTGCACAGCGATGAGATCAATTCTCTGAACGCGAGGTAAACAACCCAACAAAGCAATACGCACTAGAAAAAAAAATCGGCTACGTCTTTCGATACCGGCCGGGGACTATTGCGCTAGGCGCTCAGGGTAGGACCTGCTTTTTGATTTTTTTTTATAATGGCTCTATTTTGTTTATTATAATTATTTTAGAAAAATGAAATCTGCTAATCGCTCTCAAATTATGCGAACTACCACCCCTAATAATAATAATAATTTATTTTTGCAGACCTGTATCACACAGTTTTATTGATAAATTCCGTAATAGAGTAAAAAGAGCTTTTTTGTAGGTATATTTTAACTTTTTTTTTAAAAGATTCGTATGTTGCTTGTGATTTCAGTTCTTCAGGCAAAGCATTATAGATAGTAATACAGTTATATAAAGGAGACCTTCTGAAAGTCGTTGTTTGGTAGCTAGGGAGTCTTCAATTGTCATTCCTTGTGTGATGAGAATGAATTTGAGATTGTTTAATAAATTCACACATAAGAGAAAATATACAAAGTTATATTATTTTTAATGGAACACCCTGTTTTTTATTTTAGAATTAAAAACTACATCAAAAATAATGTCAGTTAACTAAAGGTTCCCTATTACTATTATTATTAGTTTTCGATTTATTTGAATTTTTAAGTAAAAAAAGTCTCCCAGAAATTAATTGTTTACTCTTGTTTGAATAATTTTTAATGAACTATTTTTTTTTCTTTTTTGGGACACAATGACACAAACACCCTATTACTCTCTGTGGCTTTTCCCCATGATAAAACATTATCAGATAAATGAGAATACGCGAATGCATAATAAAGATCAAGCAAGCCTTTTTCATCCAAATAGTCTATCATCTGAAATATTGCATAAAAAGTTTTATTCAGTTGTCCACATACATATGTGATGTTCAAAGCTCATGTTTGAGTCCAACCATGTACCCAATAGTTTGGCATGCGTTTCAAATTTAAACGGAAGTTCTTTACTTATTGACTCTGGTAAAAATTTCTTTATATGGAAGTTTAAACATACCGTTTTGTCTTCATTAAGAATTAAAGAGTTTTTGTGGTACCATTGTTTCATTTGACTGAATACAGACAAGGCATTCTCTTGAAGCTCCTCCGGAGTCCTGCCTGTGACCGTTATTGTAGTATCATCTGCAAACATTATGGTCTTACCTCCATGTATATATGTGGGCAAGTCATTTACAAAAAGCAAGAATATTAACGGTCCCAAAACAGAACCCTGAGGAACCCCGAGAAATACAGGGTACATTTTTGAAATTTCAGAGTTTATTTTAACTAGCAATTTACGGTTTCCTAAGTAGGACTCTATCCAGTCTAGCAGTTTCCCATGAATTCCCAATGTAGTTAGCTTATTTAAAAGGAATTCTTTCTTTAGGGTATCAAATGCCTTTGACAGATCGAACATAATTGAAATGACATATTTACCTTTGACCAATTCATTATATACATGAGTTAATAATTCATTAGTTGCAGTTTCGATAAATTTATTTTTTCTAAACCCATGTTGGCTAATTGTGAGTATTTTATACTTATCATTAAAATCAGTTATAATATTATATACACATCTCTCAAGTATTTTTGATAATTCTGATAACAATGAAATTTGTCGATAGTTATCTATGTTTGATGTTTCTCCTTTTTTATGGAGAAGAATTACAACTGCCAGTTTAAATGCCTATGGAAAAATTCCTTTTTCTAAAGATAAGTTTATTAAATAGGTAAGTTGTTGCAGAATTATAATTTTAATTGATTTCAGTATTTTGGGTGATAATTCATCGATTCCAGCACAATTTTTCTTTTTAATTTTATCAAACGCTATTTATATGTCTTCCATAGGAATGTAATTAACAAAAATAGAGTTTACAATATGTTGACCTACTGTACAACTCTTGTGATATATTGTTTTGAAATGATCACTAACCATATTGGTACATATGCCAGAAAAGTGAGAAGCAAATAAGTTACTTATTTCTTTTGTG